TCCATAAATTAGTATATATTCAACACAAAAAACGGCAACAATTTGTTGTTGACAAAGGACAGCTGGACATATCAAGGGCCCCATTACCTTCAGTAGCTTAGGGCCTCATCAAACCGAAATCCGGCCCTGACCGCCACCCTATCTGCAACATAAGGTACCAACTGCAATGTCTGATCTGGGTTCAAGGGCAGCCCCACATAAGACAGCTTTACAGTAATCCAGCCTCAAAGTTAACCAGCAACACGGGTCCCTGTGGCTTTGGTGGAAACACCCAGTTCGCTTTCTTACAAATCCTGACCTGTCAGTTTATTTATTTATTTATTTTTCAAGCAAAGCCTAGATTTTTTAATTTACTTCAACATGTTATTTACCATATCCATGACATTTTGCAACCTGCAATGGTTTGGTATAACTAGTAAAAACAAAACAAAAAATCTTTTCCAGCAGGAATATATTCCATGCAGGATAAGTGGCTATAATATTGTTTCCAGCTTTATGTAAGCTACTGAGACAAAAACAAATTTTTGGCTCTTAATTGTGTGTGCCTATTCCAAAAGCAAGGATATTTCCATTTCAACTGCAAAAGAAAGACAAATGCAATCCATTTATAACTAGGGGCGCTTCCACTTCCACACGGCCAACCTCCCTCTCTCCTTTTTTTTATAATTATTTTTTATTCATTTTGCAATACAAAAATATAAAAACACGTAACACAATTTTTCACAAATACATTTTTTTGAGTTCCCTCAGCTCTTCTGCAAATCCTCCGTTTTAGTCCTTCTTCCGCATTTCTTAATCTAATATTGCCTTTTATTAAAAAACCTCCTGCCTCTTATTCCCTTTTTTACAATATTTCTAATATTATTTTCACAGAGCCTCTTGCAAACCTACAAACGTTAATTGTTCATCGCAAATACAGTGGTGCCTCGCAAGACGGAATTAATCCGTTCCGCGAGTCTCTTCGTCTTGCGGTTTTTTTGTCTTGCGAAGCACGGCTATTAGCGGCTTAGCGGCTATTAACGGCTTAGCGGCTTTAAGAAAAAGGAAACAAACTCGCAAGAACTCGCAAGATGTTTCGTCTTGCGAAGCAAGCCCATAGGGAAATTTGTCTTGCGGAACGACTCAAAAAACGGAAAACCCTTTCGTCTAGCGAGTTTTTCGTCTTGCGAGGCATTCGTCTTGCGGGGCACCACTGTATCAAGTTGACCTGTCAGTTTAACCCGGACTGAGATCAGAACTCCAAATTGGCAAGGGAATTATTTTTGCATCGTCCCGACTACTCACCTCAATCGTCTTAGGCCACAGTGGGGTGGCGGGAAAGTTGTGAATGTAAACCTCATTGGCCACTGTGTTCACATCAACGGCGGCCACGATTTTAGCAGGGATTCCGCTTGCTAGAATTCAAGCAAGGAACAGTCAGGAGAGTGGGTTTAAGAAGAACACCACTGGTGGTTTTTAATCATTTAGTTAACAATTATGTCCTCCATAAACTCAGTTGTGCTTATTCCTGTTGCTTAAATAAAACTGCTAGTCAGCTGTTCTAATAATAATAATAATAATTTTTATTTATATCCTGCCCTCCCCAGCCAGAGCCGGGCTAAGGGCGGCTGACACCAATAAAATTACAGTAAAAACATAATGGAGGGGAGGAAATAATAATTTATTTATACCCCACCCATCTGATGGGGTTTTCCCAGCCACTCTGGCTGGCTTCCAGCAAAATATACAAATACAATAATTCATCAAATATTAAAAGCTAATAAACATTAAAAGCTTCCCTAAACAGGGCTGCCTTCAGATGTCTTCTAAAAGTCAGGGAGTTGTTTATTTCCTTGACATCTGAAGGGAGGGCGTTCCACAGGGCGGGCGCCACCACCAAGAAGGCCCTCTGCCTGGTTTCCTGTAACCTCACTTCTCTCAGGGAGGGAACCACCAGAAGGCCCTCGGAGCTGGAACTCAATGTCCTGGGAGAACGTTGGGGGTGGAGACGCTCCTTCGGGTATACTGGACCGAGGCCGTTTAGGGCTTTAAAGGTCAGCACCAACACTTTGAATTGTGCTCGGAAACGTACTGGGAGCCAATGTAGGTCTTTCAAGACCGGTGTTATGTGGTCTCGGCGGCCGCTCCCAGTCACCAGTCTAGCTGCCACATTCTGGATTAGTTGTAGTTTCTGGGTCACCTTCAAAGGTATCCCCACATAGAGCGCATTGCAGTAGTCCAAGCGGGAGATAACCAGAGCATGCACCACACTGGCGAGACAGTCTGCGGGCAGGTAGGGTCTCATCCTGCGTACCAGATGGAGCTGGTAGACAACCGCCCTGGACACAGAATTGACCTGCGCCTCCATGGTCAGCTGTGAAGTGGTCACACTGGGAAATAGTAAAGTCCTGGCTTTTTAAATCTGCAGCCATTGAAAACTTCAAGTAAACTTTATTTCCATGCTATTCCAATAAGCTGTAAAAGTACAGGAGCCTCAGAACGCCATAAACAATAACTGCTGGAGTTTTTAATTCCCAGCACCCAGCCCTACCCCCTTGAAACCAAATCTGTTTCTGTGGGAGGTTATTTCAGTTAAATCAATCAACTCAAAATAATCAATAAAGTCTCCCTTCAACCCAGGTGTGTGCTGTGTCCCTGTATTGTGGGATGCCTCTAGTTGTTTAGATGATTAAGGGTTCTGTTCCAGATAGCCATGTAATTGCAAACCAATGTGTTTAAATTGTTAAAAGCAACCAGTTAGTATTTGCAGTTCTTCGTTTTCCAGCCAAAGAGTCATTTTGTATTGTAGTCTCTTTTTTAATGCTTTATTTTTATGGTAAGTACAAATCATAGGCGCAAAATCAAAAAGGTACAGAGCTTTCAAAAGATACATGAATTTCATCACGTCATAATTTCAGTGGTAAATTCCCGTCCCCCCCAATTGAGGGTCCCAATTACTATTATTACAGTGGTACCTCGGGTTAAGTACTTAATTCGTTCCGGAGGTCCGTTCTTAACCTGAAACTGTTCTTAACCTGAAGCACTACTTTAGCTAATGGGGCCTCCTGCTGCCGCCGCCAGAGCACGATTTCTGTTCTCATCCTGAAGCAAAGTTCTTAACCTGAAGCACTATTTCTGGGTTAGCGGAGTCTGTAACCTGAAGTGTATGTAACTTGAAGCGTATGTAATCCGAGGTACCACTGTATTTTCTCGTACTGTTTGTTATCACTCTTGAGTTTATCTCATTCTTCTAGCTTTGTAACATTGCCTACTTTTGTACAGCACTCCACCCCCCCCCAGCCAAAGAGTCATCTTGTATTGTAGTCAATAGATACAAACCCGTCATGTGAATCCGATATAGTTTTCCCACTGAAATCAGCCTCTCTTTAAGTACAGCGGTACCTCAGGTTAAGAACTTAATTCGTTCCGGAGGTCCGTTCTTAACCTGAAACTGTTTTTAACCTGAAGTACCACTTTAGCTAGGGGACGCGGGTGGCACTGTGGGTTAAAGCCTCAGCGCCTAGGGCTTGCTGATCGAAAGGTCGGCGGTTCGAATCCCCGCGATGGGGGTGCGCTCCCGTCGCTCGGTCCCAGCGCCTGCCAACCTAGCAGTTCGAAAGCACCCTCGGGTGCAAGTAGATAAATAGGGACCGCTTACTGGCGGGAAGGTAAATGGCGTTTCCGTGTGCTGCGCTGGCTCGCCAGATGCAGCTTGTCACGCTGGCCCCGTGACCCGGAAGTGTCTGCGGACAGCGCTGGCCCCCGGCCTCTTGAGTGAGATGGACGCACAACCCCAGAGTCTGTCAAGACTGGCCCGTACGGGCAGGGGGACCTTTACCTTTACCTTTTACCACTTTAGCTAATGGGGCCTCCCGCTGCCGCCGCACGATTTCTGTTCTCATCCTGAAGCAAAGTTCTTAACCCGAGGTACTATTTCTGGGTTAGCGGAGTCTGTAACCTGAAGCGTCTGTAACCTGAGGTACCACTGTAGTGGTAGGCAATTGGACCCTCCTACCTCAGACCAAAGCATCAAATTGCCAGACAAGAAAGGTGCTGTTTAGCAGCAAACAAAGTACAGTGGTACCTCTGGTTACGTACCGTATTTTTTGCTCTATAAGATTTGTTTTTTCCCCTCCTAAAAAGTAAGGGGAAATGTGTGTGTGCGTCTTATGGAGCGAATGCAGGCTGCACAGCTATCCCAGAAGCCAGAACAGCAAGAGGGATTGCTGCTTTCACTGCGCAGCGATCCCTCTTGTTGTTCTGGCTTCTGAGATTCAGAATATTTTTTTTCTTGTTTTCCTCTTCCAAAACTAGGTGCGTCTTATGGTCTGGTGCGTCTTATAGAGCGAAAAATACGGTGCTTAATTCGTTCCGGAGGTCCGTTCTTAACCTGAAACTGTTTTTAACCTGAAGCACCACTTTAGTTAATGGGGCCTCCCGCTGCAGCCACACGATTTCTGTTCTCATCCCGAAGCAAAGTTCTTAACCTGAGGTACTATTTCTGGGTTAGCGGAGTCTGTAACCTGAAGCGTATGTAACCTGAAGCATATGTAACCCAAGGTACCAATGTACTGGTAGTTTAATTGGCTAAGATTCTTCTTGTCTATTAATACAACATCATTTCCCCTCCTTTGGAGAGCTGTAGCAGCACAATCTCCAGATCTGATGCTGTTTTGAACAATTCCCCACCGCTCCACCCCGATACCTGAGAACACCTGCACAACAGAACGAAAACTTGGTCTGTCACCATCTGCTCTTAAAAAAGCTGATGCACGCCACACTCAGGGGCCAGCAATCTTTTTCAGCCGTGGGCCGGTCCACCGTCCCTCAGACCGTGTGGTGGGCCGGACTATACTTTGAAAAATAAAAAAATGAACGAATTTCTATGCCCCACAAATAACCCAGAGATGCATTTGAAATCAAAGCACACATTCTACTCATGTAAAAACACCAGGCAGGCCCCACAAATAACCCAGAGATGCATTTTAAATAAAAGCACATGTAAAAACACGCTGATTCCTGGACTGTCCGCAGGCCGGATTGAGATGGCGATTGGGCCGCATCCGGTCCCCGGGCCTTAGTTTGCCTACCCCTGGATTATGGGATGCAATTCTCTGCTGCAGGTCACACACATCACATCTCCAGCTGTGTATGTGCAAAGAAGTGCCCTCCGTTGGCGCGGAACCTGTAATGGGCCAATAATAAATAAATAAAGTCTGGATCAGGCAGCTTTGTGATCCGGGTGGCTCTTTAGCTTGTGGAACTTGACGCTGTCCAGTTTCTCAAAGCGCTTTCCGCAGTGCTCGCAGGTGAAGTTGTACTGGGCCTCCGAGGTGTGTTTCTTCATGTGCCAGTTGAGAGAGGCTCGCTGCCGGCACTGGTAACCGCAGATCTCGCACTGGAGAGGCGTCTCCCCAGTGTGTGTCCGGCGGTGGACTTCCAGATGGTTCTTGCGCTTGAAGGATTTGCCGCAGGTCTCGCAGGTGAATTCGCGGACTCCGGAGTGGATGATCATGTGCCTCCGGAGGTGGTTGGAGAGATAGAACTTCTTGCCGCAACCTGGGTGGGGACACACCTTCGTCTTCCCCTTCCGGTGGACGAGGTTAACGTGGTTCTGGAAACTGCTAAGTGCTACATAGACCTGGGTGCACCCTTCGTAGGGGCAGTGGAACATCTCCAGCATGCCATCGGCGTCCATCACACGGCCCCTTTTGCTCCTCCTTCTCTTCTCGGGCTCCTTTGGAATCTCGTAGATGATGGAGGACATGTTGATGCCCTCGATCTCCTCCTCTGCTTCCAGCCCCACACTCTCAGGGTCTGGCTCTGGGTCACAGGGCGTCCTTATTTCCGCCGGGGGCTGCGGCTCCTCCTTTTTGAGCTCAAAAAGCTCCTCGTTTTCCCGTTTGGTTTCGATGTATTCCACACTCTCCATGCCGCTGGGCTGTCCAGTCCCAGGCTCCGTCTGGGCATAGGCCGCCGCCACGCTCTCAATCATGGCGCAGGGCAACTCCTCTGCGCCCGTGCTGGTGACGTTCAGCTGGATGCCCTCAGTCCGTGAGGGCATCATAGCCAGGCCCGGCGATGATGATCACCTGTGAGCCCTGCGCCACACCCTGGACGGGGCAGCTGGCCACCACCTCGCTAAGCGTCTCTGGCGTCACGTTGTCAAAGAGAGTCCCGTGGCCCGAACTCATCTGCACCGGCACCGGCACGCACACCACAGTTTCCATGGTCTGTGGGCCGCCGAGGGGTGGGCACACGCCAGGCCCCTGCTCTGACGCCAGGTTCTCAATATGGTGCTCAAACGGAATGTGGATGCCATCCCGAGTGATGAGCCCGCTTGCGCTCTCGCCCTCCTTATTTTCTGTCGGCTGCCGCTGCGTCTGGCCCTCTGACCGCTCTTCAGCCTCCGAACTAGAGCTCTCGTCGGAATTCCCGCAGCTTCCGGCATGGCCGCCCTCGTTCTCGGAGTCGCTGAGCGGCTTGAGAGGCGAGTGCAAGTCCTGGAAATAGCGGTGTCCTGCTTCGCACTGCCACACGGCCGTCGTGTACATCTCAAAGGTGGGGTCCAGCTCAGAGAGGTGGGGCTCATAGGGGCAGCGGTTTTTGTGGTCTTCATACCAGATGACGACGTTCTTCAGGCAGTTCACGTTCCGCCGCCTTCTCTTCTTCCTTTGCGGCTCGTAAGGCAGCTGCTCCCAGAGTTTCCCTCGGCGCCCGGCCCGCTGCTCCCGTTCCAGTCCCAGCAAGTACGCGGCCAGCTTGGCGTCGCTCCAGCCGCTGCGCTGCCTCAGGTTCGACCAGGGGCCGTGGGACTCGCCCAGGTAGACGCGCCGCATGTCGTATTTCTTCCGGGACTCGAGGCGGCGCTGGGCTCGGTCGGACTCCGTGAGCCGCGGCCTACCCCGGGCCTTGCGGCCACCCCGGGCTTTTCGGCTCCCCTGCGCTGGGTCTCCATCTCCGGCAGCGGCTTCTTCCTCTTCCTCTTCCTCCTCGGGTTCCCCGCCGTCCTCGTCGCCTGTGGCCGGGCCATGCTCAGAGTCGCTCATCTCTGGCCGGTAGCTAAGGAGTCCTAGTGCAATTGCACTTCTGTAGAGAGAATGGGAAACTTGACTTGAGCAGATGGTTGCAATTTCTTGGGATGGATGAGAATTAAAATTAACTTGCTAGAAAACAAGCCACTTCTTTTCTAAACCTTCACAGGTTCAAATTTCATTAAAAAAAATTTTATTAAGGTTTATAGAGAAAAATAGAAAACATATCTTCTCCCCCTTTTTTAAGCAAACCAAAAATCTAGACAATAGAAGTTCAAAAAAGGGGTGGAGAAAGAAATGAAGGAAAACAACTTAAAAGGGAATTGATAGAAAATTGGACAAAATTGGACACACCCCTGTCTTACTCCATTACAGGTGGGTAATAATAATAATAATAATAATAATAATAATAATAATTCATTATTTATACCTCGCCCATCTGGCTGGGCCTCCCCAGCCACTCTGGGCGGCTTCCAACAAAATATTAAAATACCGTAATACACCAAACATTAAAAGCTTCCCTAAACAGGGCTGCCTACAGATGTCTTCTAAAGGTCTTGTAGTTATTATTCTCTTTGACATCTGGTGGGAGGGTAGAACACAACCCACATCTGCACATGCGCGGGTCACGATTTGCCGCTTCTGCGCATGACGTCATTTTGAGCGTCTGCGCGAGAGGCGAAACCCGGAAGTAACCCTTTCTGGTACTTCCGGGTCGCAGCAGGACGCAACCTGAAAAGATTTAACCTGAAGTAAACGTAACAAGACGAATGACTGTACTTGCTGTCCTTTTTGGCCACACACTCAAACACATGCCAGAAGGTGGCAGAGTCTTTCCATGTGTTTCTCTGTCACACATGCCAGGTCAAGTCCTCCATCCACGATCAAGGCATGGATGACAGCTGCCTTGTGAATCATTGACCTGGCATTGCACAGCAGCACCTTCAGGTCATGTGGGTCTCCCTTGTTGATTCCGGCATCCCTCCAGTCAAGATCAGACGCAGAGGCAGAGATAGTCTTCAAACAACGACTAAACCTGCCTCCTGGTCTAAGCATAACTCATCCTCCAGCCCGTGATCACAGAGATCGGGTGTCCCTGTGCATCCCCCCTGTGGAACTTGCCCCAGACATTCTGTTGACTGGGGCCCATTCCCAGGCAGCCCTGACCCTCTCCCCTTAAGAACAGAACGCAAACCATACAACAAACCAATGAAAGAGTAGAAACAAATAATAATAATTTACAATTATACTAAAATTAAACTAATCCCCACCCCCAACAGAGCCAAAACAAAACAGAAAAACAAAATTTTAAATGCCACAGATTAATAATAATATTTTTTTATTTCTACCCTGCCTATCTGGCTGGGTTTCCCCAGCCACTCCAGGCAGCTTTCAACATAACATTAAAAGCACAATAAAACATCAAACGTTAAAGACTTCCCTAAATAGGGCTGCCTTCAGATGTCTTCTAAAAGTCAGGTAGTTGTTTATTTCCTTAACATCTGATGAGAGGGCATTCCACAGGGTGGGCGCCACTACCGAGAAGGCCCTCTGCCTGGTTCCATGTAACCTCACTTCTCGCAGGGAGGGAACCACCAGAAGGCCCTTGGGAGCTGGACCTCAGTGTCCGGGCAGAACGATGGGGGGGGGGGGAGATACTTCTTCAGGTATACAGGACTGAAGCCGTTTAGGGCTTTAAAGGTCAGCACCAACACTTTGAATTGCGCTCAGAAATGTACTGGGAGCCAGTGTAGATCTTTCAAGACCAGTGTTATGTGGTCCCGGCGGCCACTCCCAGTCACTAGTCTAGCTGCCGCATTCTGGATTAATTGCAGTTTCTTGGTCAAAGGTAGCCCCATGTAGAGCGCATTGCAGTAGTCCAAGCAGGAGATAACTAGAGCATGCACCACTCCGGCGAGACAGTCTGCGGGCAGGGAGGGTCTCATCCTGTGCACCAGATGGAGCTGGTAAACAGCTGCCCTGGACACAGAATTGACCTGCACCTCCATGGACAGCTGTGAGTCCAAAATGACTCCCAGGCTGCGCACCTGGTCCTTCAGGGGCACAGTCACCCCATTCAGGACCAGGGAGTCCTCCACACCTGCCCGCCTCCTGTCCCCCAAAAACAGTACTTCTGTCTTGTCAGGATTCAACCTCAATCCGTTAGCTGCCATCCATCCTCCAACTGCCTCCAGGGGAATTAGTGGGGATGGGATTGGGGGCAGTTTACCTACTTCTTCCCTGCTTTAAGCATGGTCTGTCTGAACCTGTTTAGCATTGTGGGGTTTTTCCTCGGTTAGTTTGGGAGGAATGGGTATGACGTGGCGGGGGTATTTTCAACCGTGTCTCTCTCCAGGTGCACCCATTGTTTCAACTCGTCTTCTAGGAGATATGGGATTATATGGCACTCCCAGGCAGCCCTGACCCTTGCCCCTTAAGAACAGAATGCAAACTATACAATAAACCAATAAAACAGTAGAAACGCTAAAAAAACACCCTACATTTATGCTAAAATCAGGGACATGGGTGGCACTGTGGGTTAAACCACAGAGCCTAGGGGTTGCTGATCAGAAGGTCAGCAGTTCGAATCCCCGCGACGGGGTGAGCTCCCGTTGCTCGGTCCCAGCTCCTGCCCACCTAGCAGTTCAAAAGCACGTCAAAGTGCAAGTAGATCAATAGGTACCACTCCAGCGGGAAGGTAAACGGCGTTTCTGTGCGCTGCTCTGGTTTGCCAGAAGCGGCTTAGTCATGCTGGCCACATGACACGGAAGCTGTACGCCGGCTCCCTCGGCCAGTAAAGTGAGATGAGCGCCGCAACCCCAGAGTCGGTCACGACTGGACCTAATGGTCAGGGGTCCCTTTACCTTTATACTAAAATTTAACTAATCTCCAGCCCACCTAAACAATTATCCCACACCAACACAGCAAAAAACAAACAAACAAAAACCCCAACATTTTAAACGCCATAGATTAAAAACTATTTAAAAGCATTTAAAAGCATTTTTTATTGCTGCTGCCTCTCTGAAGCCTTGTCGCTCCTGTTCAGGGTAAGTGTGGGCCCCACCCCCTAGACCGGGTGGAAAGGGCCTTGCATCAGGGAAGAATTTCTTCCTTTTAACACTCGGGCAGTTGTCCGATTTGGGCCTCTGTACATTTGGTATTGTTTTGTTAGAATTTTTTTTTCCCTATGGCGATACATTCATGGTCAAATCAGTGCTTGGATTGTTTAATGTGTAGCTAAGATTTCAAAGGGGACGCGGGTGGTGCTGTGGGTTAAACCACAGAGCCTAGGGCTTGCCGATCAGAAGGTCGGCGGTTCGAATCCCCGTGACGGGGTGAGCTCCCGTTGCTTGGTCCCTGCTCTTGTCAACCTAGCAGTTCGAAAGCACATCAAAGTGCAAGTAGATAAATAGGTACCGCTCTGGTGGGAAGGTAAACGGCGTTTCCGTGCGCTGCTCTGGTTCGCCAGAAGCGGTTTAGTCATGCTGGCCACATGACCAGGAAGCTGTACGCTGGCTCCCTCGGCCAGTAAAGTGAGATGAGCGCCGCAACCCCAGAGTCGGTCACGACTGGACCTAATGGTCAGGGGTCCCTTTACCATTTACCTTTGGATTTCAAAAGGTGTTCCAAGAGCACGACTGACACATCTAGACTCTTAAGCCCAACAGAAAACAGACACAAAAGTGCTATAAATACGCTAGGGATTTGAGTGGGATGGACTCGCTGTCCAACCCACAGTAGAAAGTTTCCTGTGTTTGAAGAATGTCTCTAGTAAGTGCCAAGATAAATTTCCAGACTTATCTCGGGGGCACAAAATCTACTTAACCTACAACAAAATGCTAGCTTCCTGGGGCCAGGCAGAGGAACTCCATCCTTTCTCCACTTGCTCGCCTGTTTTGCAGATCTCTGCCATTTACGGTGACCAGGCTTAAATGAGAATCTAATACAAAACTCTTTTAGCAACGTCCAGAAAACAAATTGAGGGGGAATTCCTCACGCTTGCAGGGTGGGCGGGCGGGCGTGTGAGGACCCCCTTCCTGCGTATTTTCTGTGTCTTGGGCCTCCTGTTAATAGCAGAAAGAGCAAGGGGAGTGGGGGAAGAATAATAATAATAATAATATTTTTTATTTATACCCCGCCCTTCCCGGTTCAAAAACCGGGCTCAGGGCGGCTAACCACAAATCTAAAACCCTTAATTATAAAAGCAGCATATAATACAGTATAAAAACATGAATAACAATAAAATTCCAAAAAAAAATGGAAGCTTTCCAGTAGGGATAAAACAAGTGTTCCGGCAAGACAAGGAAACTCTGGAGTTTGCAACTGAAGCTGGAAGCTGGACAGAGAGAGGGGGGTAGCCGAACCACAGCAATACTCTGAAGGCCCCTGAAAAGTGTCTCCAGAACCCTGACTTGGAGAGGAGAAAATCTTGTTTTTCCTATTCCTGATCTAAGCATCTTTCTCCTCCCCAGCCCGGAAGCCAAGCCTTGCAAAGGATGCTCTGGAGGCAGGGATACTGCTGCAGCTTGCATGCATGAACCCAAAGGGAGGCCAAGGTCCAAGATACCTTTCAGCGCCTGGTGCATTCCTCCAATGCCACTATACAGCTCCAGAACTTGCAGGGACTCCATTTCTCCTCTTCCCCAGCAGAAAGTGCAACCACAGCTGGTGCAGCTGGCTCGTCGGCGCCCGCAGCTGCAAGCAGCAAGCACCTTCCGTTCCGCAGCTCTTTGGTTCCCCCTTTCCTGCCCAGCAACCGTTTCTCCCCAGCCAGCCAAGTCCAGGTAGCCTCCCTCCCCTCACTTTCCCCACGCCTCTAGGATAACTCCAGGAAAAGGTCGACCTGCAGACTGCAGCCTCTGCCCGCCCTGATTTGCATCTGCACAAAAATAAATATTGCAATTTTGTTTTATTTTTATTTTGGAGTGTGCAATTTTTTCCCCTTCAGGGTGTTGTGAGAATTGCACCCCTGCCTACATGCACATGAGGGGTGCATGTAAATAAACGCTCCCCGTGTGATCGTACCTCCAAGCCAAGCACTGCCAGGGGGAAAGGGAAAAGACCCCTTTTCTCTGAGCTGATTGGGTCAGCAGCGCCCCCTACTGGGTTCCCTAGGCGATCTGGCTGAAGCGTCTATCTCTGCAAACTGGATAAGTTGTTATTCCAGGGTGCAGTCTTAAATGGGCAAAAAGGCCAGTTTAGAAAGGGAAACGTCCGAACTTGCCCCCCCCCCACTAAAATAACCAGAAAATAAAAGAGAGAGTTCGTGCAGAAGCAGGAGTTTATTTAACTCCTACATTTCTGGGAAGGGAGGTGGTGATCTCTTTTCCCACGCGAATCCCAGGAGTTTCGCAATCTCTCCTTGCCACATTGTAGAGAGAGACTATGATTACTGATCAAGATTTATCTTTGCAAATTGTAAGACTGTATCTGTGAATAAAATCTTGTTACAGTTTGCTCAGCATGCGAAAGCAGACACTCCCCAGAATAATCCCATTTCCTTGCTAAAAGAGGCACATGATATATTTCCTGGATGAGTTGCGGTTTCTTTGAAAATAGGTTTAAAAGAATAAATCCATTTTTGTTATTTATCTCCAAGGACATCAGTCAAGTTACATTCTGAGTACTTTTGCTGGTGGCTGCAGAGAAGCAGGTAGATATAATCTTATAGGCCATAATTTAACTGTCATGGCTTCCATAGCCTGCTTTGGAATTCCAGATTTTGCAGGTGTGTTTGTGTGTCAGACCTACTTCAAGTTCACAAATTAAACATTCCTGAGCATCGGGCACAGGGATTTTATTCTAATAGCGAATGTACCTACCATTATTAATCTATTCTTTATATATTCTCTAATACCTTCTTACAGCAATTTGTACCGTTGCTCTTATTTCTCATATCTTTCTTTATCAAAGGTGAATCCAATGCTGCCATAGATGAAAAACCACTGGTATATTTTTGTACACATCTCTTATATTTATCCCATTTTTGTGCAAATTCTTGTCTTGAACTGCCCCTTAGGCTGTCGGTCAATTGCACCATTTCCACATATTCTTGTAACTTATTCTGCCAATCCATTCAGTGGCGTAGCGTGGGTTGTCACCACCCGGGGCAAGGCAAGTAATTTGCTCCCCCTAACCCCTAACCTGCCGCCGCTGCCAGCTTCTTCTTGCTGCTGCCTGGGCTGGGGTAAAGTAAGATGTTCGGGGTTATATATATATGTATATGCACGCACGAGTGTTTCAGAAAATTTGTTCTCTTTGAAACTGTAGCTCACAAATCCTGGTTAATAACTCTAGGGAACTTTTGATGAAGGCGGGAAAAACAAAAAAAGGAAACTGTGTCTTTAAGCGTAGTGAGGTTACACCCCGCCATACACAATCACCCGCTACTACCTCTCCAATTCGTGGATATAGGAAATCTCACGTGGGCTGCCAGACTGTGAACGCTACATGGTTTAAAGTTGTTTCACAAAGCGATCGAACTAGGGTTAGGATCTGAGCGGATGGACCAAATGCCAAGCCCGAGTTGCAGCTGGTAGCAGAGCGGCCAGGAATTGCGTGGTTAAGACTCGGAAGAGTACATGAAATGGCAAGAGAGGGAGATCAGAAACTCCGGAGGAGCCCGGAGTGAACTTCGGTTGAGGCTTGCAAGCTACTAACCTTGTGTCTTCCTCTAATTTTGTAGCGCCCCAGCTTGCCATCTGCGTACATGATGAGCTTATCCATTCTTTTCAGGAGGTAGCCTATATTTTCACTGCCCTCAACCCACAAAATCTTGTCCCCGCGAATGGTTCAGCTGCCGCCCGCCTTCTGGCTCGCCAGGGCGCCGTCCTGGAATTTGTCACTCAGGTGCAAAGCCAGGACCTCTTGGAAGATTTTCTCGGCCATCCTGTGCCCCAGGAAGTGGTCGACTATGCACAAGCCATAGGCGTTCATGCAAGGCACCACGTAGCGCAAGGCTAGCCTCTGCGCATCTCTGCGGGGCTTCCGGAGAGGAGCTTTGCTGCGAGGCGGGGAGCTGGTGGAGGGCGAAGTGCCCTCGACGCCCGGGGCCTCCGCTGAGCTCGCGGCGGGGCTCAGGAGGCCTCCGAAGGGGCCTGGGGCCGGGCCGACGGGCTGCTCCTCTCCGCCCCCCTCCTGGCGGCTCCCAGGCGGGTGGCGGATGAAAATCCTCCTCATGCTTTCTACTGAGTCTCCGCGGAGCTGGGCGGCCGCCGGGGGCTGCTGCTCGGCAGCTTCCCCGCTGGAGAAGGCCATGGTTTGCGCGCAAGACCAGGTCCCGCTCCCGGGCGGCAGGGCGGCATCGCCTCACCACGACGGCGGCATGCCGCTTCTGGCCGGGCCCGAGCTCCACGCGGGAAATGCCATGCTTGCGCCACACGCCGCTGGATTCGAGGAGCAAGGACATGCCGCTCGGGAGCATGCACACGTACCACGGGGAGCGAGCGGCACCTCCGCCCCCGCCCAGCGCCTCCCTCCTTCCCGCCCTCCTGGCTTCCTCAAGACATGGGGCTCTGCTACAGCCTGTGCCCGAGGCTCTTCGGCGACTCCGGAGGCGGCGAGCGCGCCCCCCAGATGTTGCGCCCGGTGCGGCCGGCCCCCCCTGCACCCCCCACTCTACGCCACTGAATCCATTTGTTATGGAAATTACAGGGGGGGCACATCTTTAAAGTTAAATATTACAAATATTATGCCTGAATATATCCTTCCAACTTGACAGCTCAGGGAAGTCACCTAGCTTTAAAAATACCCTAATATAAAATCATCTCCTTTCCCAGTTCCCCCCATTCCAAAGCTATTTTCCCCTTGCAAAAGGACTCCAGGAAGTTCCCAGAGGTGAAAATTGCTGGGCTCATTGTTAGCCAAAGGAAGCCAAATCTCATCACCTGACTCGCCTCAGGCTCCAGACATGCAAAGGAACTTCTATTGTACTTTTGGGTGGTGGGTACTTAAGGCATATTTGTCTATGCTAATCTTATACCTGAGTCTTGCCCCGCCATGTCTGCTTATGCTAATCTTGTACCAAGGACTTGTCTGGACATGTTTGCCAAGGTTAACCCCTCCCCTTCGAACTGTATTCTGGGATGTGGTGGGAAAGTTTTAAAAGTCCTTGTCACCCCATCCTCGGGGTTCAAAATTTGCTCTTTGAACCTATTGCGCAATAAACTTTGGTCTACAGATATTTGCTCTGGTTGTCTGGACTCCTTCCTTTACTCCGCAGGGACCCGCGGGCTCTGCCCGACCAGCTGGGTGACTGAGCAGCCTCGCACCTAGATTTTTCCTTAACACATTTGAAATATACTCAGAGTCGAGAGTGGATTTCATGCTCTTTATTCAGCTCATGGTGGTGAGGAGGAATGAATGAAAGTCCCCTCAAAGTATCTGCTTTATATACATTATTTACACAATGGGCTGCACGTGATTGGCTAATTCCGGAATTCTCCTGTAGGCCAATCAGGTTGTGGATTCACTTCTATCTGGAGCTGGATTGGGTGGCTCCTGCCGACCAATCATACTGCTGCATTGTTCTAGGACCAATCAGACTGCTGCATTTTGGATCCTATTGTTCTAGGACCAATCAGACTGCTGCAGTTTGGATCCTATTCAACTCAGTACATAGCAACATTATAGTCAGAACATTTCCAGTTCTTTGCTACTAGTGTTTGGGCTGCTGCCGTAGCGTATAAAAATATTTCTCTTAATTTTGGGGGATATCTTTACCAACAATGCTTAACAATAATACTTATGGCTTTTTTAGAAATGTTATTCCAAATTTTTTAAAAGAGTTTCTTCTTTAGTTTCTCCCCACCCCGAGAAAGAAGAAAGCCAAGCTTTCCCTGCCTCTCCTGTTTTTTTCATGCCATTTTCCCCACTGTTTCCTAGTTCAAAACATGAATTGGCATTGAGCATGAGTAGAATACACGTATGTAGGCTGCTGCCTGCATAATGTTGCTTTTTAAATGATTTTAGAAATATATCTGCAAATAAATAGATGCGTATTCTCCCCGTTTTTCTTTCTCCTCCTGCGAGGTTACCATTGTCATAAACAAAATCTGCCCTTTTTCCCTTATGGGGTATCCAAGAGCACATATAGAGTTCTTACGTAGGTTCCCTATTGGTAGGAGAAAATAACAGAGGCCAACCAGAGAATATTAAGAAGCAAAGCAGCTAGTAAGCCTGATCTTTATTGATCTGTTGCAACAGGGTCCTCACTCACCACGATGCAGGAGGGAGGAGGAACCCAGAACAATGGTGCGCAAGGCCTTATAAAGACTTTTGAAACTGCCACCCTGTAGATCAAGACCACCCCCAGAAACATCATACATACATCACAGAAGTGGTGTAGCTCAAGACCACCACCCCAGATACATCATACCTACATCACAGAAAAGGCGGTCTAAAACAGAATTTGTAATGTTGTTTATCTCCTGTCTGGCAGGTTACCTGATAATGCTTGCTTGATTGGATACCCTGGGGAGCCTGGCTAGTCTTTTGTAATGATAAATACTTAGTTCCTGAGCCAGGTCACAGGCTCACCCTATTCATACACAGACATAACCTTAAGACAGTATTTGTGAAGGAAAGGCAATGGGGAGGCTTTTCCATTTTCCTTTGACCTTGCAGAGAAAACATTTGGTCAGTTTGGGACAGTTTGGGAATCAAAATGGTTCCAGGTCGGTCTTCCTGTGCTGATCTATGTACATGCTTGGTTGGTACGCTTATGAACATTTAACATATATCTAAGACCTCAAAATTCCTATCACACCATCTCTTCCTCTTCGTTACTGGAAGCTGAGAGAAAAGCCAGTTAAAAGAAAAGAACTGCCAATTAAAAATGTGCAGCCATATGCCGCGTTTTCATTTTGCCACTGAAATATACTCGGAGTCGAGAGTGGATTTCACTTCCACCTGGAGCTGGATTGGGTGGCTCCTGCGGACCAATCATA